CAGGTGATAACGCTGATAAGAGCGAAATGTGCTCCCAAGCCTCTGACATGTACACCATGTCAACTGAAGAAAAATAAAAAATAAATAAATAAAAATACCTCATGGAACTTAGGTCCACAAGAAAGACAACACAAAGTGACATATCTGTTGTAAAAATGCCACTGACTGATAGCAGCGGTGTGCATATTTCAGCAAACTACACAACAGAAGTGACTCAGACCAATAAAATCCACAGCACCTCATAAACTGAGAACTAGCGAACGAATAGAGGGCTGACAAATGCCAAAAAACATAATACATAACTAGTCTTGCAAGTGAAACAAACTAGAGAAAATTAGTTTTTCTAATGAATTAAATCATCTTCCTGTTTCAAAACTAATCGTGTGCCACTCGCCAGTTGGCGTTTTTGGGCAGAGAGGAGGCAGGACAGTTGGCAGTCAGTATGGGCTGGTATGAATTCTCACTTCCATGAGGCTTTTTGTGATCCCAGACAGCAGACAGTGTCATCATCATGTCTCTCGCCCATCTGTCTCTATCTCCACTAGTCATCACCCACTGAGTCTGATGAGCTGAGGTTTTCTGAGAGCATTTATGGCACAAGCCAGAGTGACACCAAGTCATGCTGCCAATAGTAAGAGAGCATCTTTCTCTAGAGCACGCAAACCAGGGGATAATCAGCTATTGCAATTCATGAGGTTCCTGAGCAGGAAATTATTTAAAGTTTTTTCATCCAGTGGCCAAAGTGGCTGGCAGAATCAACAATGTACATACTGCTTCTAGTGCTGCCAGATAAATGTGTTTTCAATTGTTGTCTGAGTGCAAGAAAGACTGCTGGATTGAGTAAAATAAGCAGAAGAAACAAAAACTAACAGGTCTTCCATTTATGGCCATTTCCCAAATTTTTAACAAGGTTATCTGTGATTGCACCTTACATGCATTTCCTTTCTCTGCAGCCATATAGTCAGAGTTTAAAAATGTATACTAATCTATGCACCTTGGACTTATAACACTAAACTGACTCATGGACAGAAACTGCTACACAATACACAGCAAATGGGCCCAAGGCTATTCATCTACCTACTAAACACCAGCTGAAGTGCTGTGGAGCCAACCCCCAACACATCTAAAAAGCAAAGGTCAATGCAACCAACTAATGCACACTGACCTAAATGACATCAGTGCAATGACAGCACACAGCTATCCTTTTTTGACACTGCTATGCCTCTCTGCACAGCCAGTGATCTGGCAAGCAAGACTGCCTCTAACTGCCTCTGACTGTACCAGAGGGAGGACAAGAACAGATACAGCCTCTGAATCATATCACACAAAAGGAGGAGAGACACGCTGCCGGTGCCCACGGGAAATGTGGGCTCCTTAAATAGTATCAGAACAAAACAACCACGTAGGTGTCTCAAGATCCACCCACCAAGACTCCAAGCCACTTGTCTGGCTCTGCAAGAACAACTTAATTGCAAAATCAAGGTAGTATCAAGGTGGACAAAAAAGCAAAAAGACACTAGAGCAGATTGTAAACATATCAGTGGATTACAAAGTAAAGCCAGTGAGATGGTATGATCCAAATCAATAAATCCACAAATAGATCGGACATAAAAGTCAGCACAAAGAGGTAAAGCAACTCGAAGGTCATACAAGCTTGAATCCTGCTGCTTGACTGAAATGTCAATCAATCATGTAAGCTCATACACACCGTCCTACCTATAATTGCAGCTGTTGACTATTACAATAACGACGCCCTTGACCGAACAAGGCTGTGGACACAAGGTCACACTGGAGATCACTTGACGAAAGTAATTACAAATGCACAGAGACTGTCACACAGTGTTTGGTGCCATTTTGCGACCACAAGGTCTGGACACCGCTCAGTTCTGGCAGCGAGCACTGTAAACGAGACGAGTCGTAGAGTAAAACGCTGACGTTATGCCTTCTAACTTGTGCAAAACCACTCGACGAGCTACTAATAACTCGACTAACCAGGTGCTAATGTGATTTGCCCACAACAATTACTATTTGATCGCCCTGAGACGTTTTAAAACACACATTAAACCTCTTTACCCGGCGTGCGTTATTGTAAGCAACGTCTGATCAAGGTGCTTATTTAAATAAACACAAACGTTCACATTTGTGTTTTTTCACGATGTACATTAACGCAGGGTAACAAAACTAAGCTTGAGTGCACATACAAACTTAGTACGACAACAAAGCTCACTGAATTCCTCGGCTAAAGACACTGCCACAGCTTCAGGCACACCGGCCACACAAAGGGACACACAACACAACAAGGAGTTGGGCTTTCGGTGCAAACTACAGAGAGCAGTCCTTAGCTAGGTTACGACAACTTTAACGTCTATCTTCATGTGCCAGAGAGTTCATGATATGACCACTGGCGAGCTGCGTTAGGTAAGACAAGGCTGGAGGCTACACAGCAGTCGTGAGGCCATTTAAACAAAGTAGGCAACATTACAGCTGGCTAGCCGTGCCAGAAAGCTAGATAGCAACGTAGTCGCCACCGCGCTTACCTCGAGCCGAAACCGCCGGGTAAAGTCTGCGTTGTCTCCTTACAACATGGACATTTCTTGGGTAAACGCTATGGTGGATATGCGGAGGTTCTCGCTTAAACAAGGGAGACCACAGAGGGTTGGTTTCGGGTTGTTTAGCCTCTGTTACCGAAATGAGCAATTAAGGATAAGCCTCCGCTCTTCGCTGATCGCATCTTTCCACAGCGACAGCGCCACCTGACAACGGAAATGACGCACACACTTATTTGATTGACAGCTGCGATCGGCCAATGACAACACCTGTCTGCCTTTTCCAAGTAAATGGCTGCGCACTGATGATGAAATTCTTTGGACAACAAAAGTTGCTTAATGAAACAACATTACATCATAGTTGTCTGTGCGGGAAATATGTAACACATACAATAAAGTTTACTGTGTTTGTAAATGTCAGCGTGGACATATAATATCATAATAGCATAGTTGGTTTGTTACTTATTATGCCATATGCATACAATTACCCATTCCACATAAGGGTAAGGACTTTACTGGTCAGAAAAGAATATAACTTTTGCATTAACATTACATTACACTGAAAAAAAAGTATTTCTTCTTTCTTCTTTAGCTCCACAGATGAAATCTGCTACAAAGCTTCCTCAAACACAAGTTTTTTTTATAATCATCTGACCAGAATATGTAATCAGAAATGAAAAAACTTCTACTAGAAAGTATAGCTAATTTATATATGAAGAGCAGTAAAACATTACATGGAGGTGCCCTCCATATCACCTAAGTGAAGGCTTTTCTGTTCAGGGAATCCATTAAATTTACCTGTTTCTAGTTAATGGTATTGTATACATAGAGAGAGCTGACTTAATATTCTTGCTTCATACTGGCCTCTACACTGTGGTTGTTTTTAATTAGACACATATTGCACTTCATTTAGGTTAACCATATGACTCAGTGAAACTGTGTATCACTGAGGCAATCGGTATTTCACCTGATAAATGCTTACAATTTTCAACATTTGAAACTTGAAATTGCAATTTGTCAGGATGTTATTGCTAACACAACCACCAATTCAGCTCAGTAAAAAGTAAATTCCTTACTCATTTACTCAGCAAGTATAGTTTTGAATGACATCAACATTTAGTAAAGCCCACTTGTGTTCTCAATTTAGACTCCCGGATTAACCTTAAATTCCACCCACAGCTACCAGTTTCAAACCAGTGGGCAGGTGTGACAGACGCAGAGGCTAAATGGCAGAGGGTTATTCAAGTTGCACTAGTCTTCCTGCCTTGACTCAGCAGAGCATATGCCCCCGGCCACATGAAACATTTGTCAGCCTGCGGCTTTACAGTGTCCTGCCCACAGTTTTTAAAGGGGAAACTGAATCATAACTCAAAATGCAGGGTCTGTGAGAGAAACATGTTTCAGAGGCTCTTTTGGTGTGTTTAGGGAAACTAAGGCTGACTGGACTTTAAAATCTTTCATGTTTGTAAATTTATTTATTTGTAATATTTCCAGTGGCCATAACAGAGCAAGTTTTGTAGCACTTTTTAAACATTGAAAGAGATTTTTTAAAATAAGCAACTATTGCTCATTATCTTAGAAATCAACCTTATATTTTTTAATATGCCACTTCAGGAAAATTACAAGTAATGGAATATGTAGGCAATTTTGCAAATCTGTTTGGTAAAAGACTGTTTTCTTTTGAGCTCTGTCGACTTCAGTGCACAGTCTTACGGGATGAGTGGCATGAGCTCTGGTTTCTGTTTGTTTTGCAGGTTGGCTGTACCCTCAAGGCACATAGTGTTTCTTGTCTCTCCTTTGCCAAGATTATTGGGAAGACCTCACCAGAAACCTCCTCCCCTAGATCAATTCAGAGAAATGTCTCAGCATGTTTTACCTGCATGGTATGCACCGTGTTTGTGTGTGTGTGCATGTGAGTGTGGTTGACTGGGGGAGTGCAGACTATCAGTCTCACTTTGACTCGCAAGCAGACTGCACACAAATATTGTGGGTACAGATAGCTGTTGCTATAGCAATTCTCATTGTAGATCTGTGGGAGTATCAGGGGAGTCTAATTGTGGATGATATTCAAGCAGTTTTTTTATAATCTGGTTTGGTGGTTAAATACATGATATAAATAAATATACTCAAACATCACATTTGTTTATTTACATGTCAGAGTCCTGAACTACCAAATGTGAACTGGAGAAAAACTAAGTAAACCTTGGCCTTTGACCTTTAGTGCATTTTTCACAAGTGTGACTGCTATATCAATGTGTGGTAGTCAGTTGGGACAGACCACATGCGGTACATCATTTTAGAAAGGTTTGACAGCTCCCCCTACTGTTACATCTTATCAACTACAACAAGCTGTTACAAGATTCATGCCATTATTAACACTCTATTGCATCAGTACCCAAGCCGATGATACAGTTCATACTATATGTGTGAAAACAGAATAAAAAAATTGTTCAACTATTTATTAAAAATCCTACATTGCACGTTCAACAATTTCAGCAATGTGCACTTCCCTATACACAAAAATGATACAATGAAATAAATTCAGTATGCAATAAACATATTTACATATTAGACAATCTCTTATATTGCATCCATCTCTATTATAATTATGCACTCAACAATGAGCACATTTCTGGGACATATCTCAACATTCAGGGACATCACATGGTCGTGGAAAATGTCTTGCTCATACTGTTGCTCCTCATACTGTTCTAAGGTAGTACAGATATCAGATAAACACATTTCTTACCAAAATAAAGCTCTGAGAGAATTTGAATCATGACATAAAGAGCACTTGGGTTTCCTCTGATTTCCCCACAGTATCATTTACTCACTTGTTAATTAGAATATAGAAGAAGTTAACAAACTCCCTCTTAGCATTGTGTAATAAACAAAAAAAAATTATGGACAACAAACCTGAAAATCCTCTAAAACTGTGATGTATTACTGACATTCAAGAGAATGACCTTGTGTGAAATCAAATGTGTATTTTGCGTACAGCTGCGCAGTCTGAATTAGATTTTAAAAATGCAACATCTTGACATTAAACAAACAGATGTTTTGCTATCACCACACACATACTGTATATTCAACACACTGATATAGGTCTACTGTGTATTTTGATGCACTGAAACTCTTCTCAGTTTACAGCAAACATACTATTACAGTGTATTACAACTCAAAGCTTGGTTCATGACACATTCTTTTTTGTTAACTATGCAAATTTGCAGTTGGTCATTTGACAACCAATGGAAACACCTGCTCACATCTGCATTTGAAAAGCACCCAAAGGAAGAAGGTTCTCCGGCTGCATGTGAGGTTGCTGCAGTGTTTGTGCAGGTACAGACAACAGACTGGTCTACAGTAGAGCGGACTGCTGACAATGCATTGTGCCCCACCCCCTGGGCATTTCTGTCTGGGTGACATGTCACAGACCATCCATCATGGCCAGAAGGTCGTCTCCTTTGCTGCTAGCACTGGGAGATTGGTCTCCAGACTCTGTGAACTCTCCCATGATCTTGGCCAGCTCAGCATTGCCCTGTTGGTCCAGAAAGACAATGTTATCCACCAATCACAGTGTTGGAGTGGGCACAGGCATTTACACCTCATTAGAGTAAATCCTGTTTGACTGGAAAAGCCTCACATATCTGTTCATTGACTGTACAATGTAACCTTAAGCCCATCATTAAGATAAGCAACATATGGCCAAGGGGGCAAATAATGGCGGTTGTTTATCAAGGCTAAAAGACACCCAACTAGTTGTGAGGCTGACATGTTAGTGCAGACTACAAGATTTTTGCCACAATTTGCCTGTCCCAGAGAAATTTCTCAGATCTGAGATAAAAACCGCGAAAAAAGCGCGAAATTTAATCATAGCCAAAAAAGAAGATGCGCTTGTAGTTGGGGCACCTTTTAATTCATAGAGCAGTAATCCAATCAGAGCACACAAGGAAACAAGGCTGTGAGAAGGGAAGCGGACCGTCCAAAACAAAACAACCATCATGGCTACAAAGAGGGTAAAGATGGGGATTAGTGTTCTGCGTGGACACAAGAGATGGAGGAGAGGCTCACTGAACTCAAGCCCTTGTCAAGCTCCATTTCTAGCCAGGCGTAAGGAAACCTGGCATCATTTGTGACGATTGACTTCTCGCCTGTTTTTGTTGAATCTTGTAATGAATACACCTCATCTGAGATCAGTTGCGTCGTTTATTCACCCTCACATCAACATGACAACAGTCAGGGACAAAAAATTTCTTGTGGGTTAAGCAGTCTTGCAGTCCGCACTTGCCCTTAGATGACAGATGTATGGTTGGACGTTTTGTCACTTAATGTGCAGTAAAATTTTGATTTTAACAACACATATACTAGATATCCAATTCCTTTCTTCTGAAACAAACAGTTTGTGAGTAGATAAGCTTTACCTTTGTTGCTTGGATGTTTATTACTCCATATGAAAGCTCATCTGGTCTTGATATTAATGCTTCTCTGTGATAAAGGAGAGTCACAATGTTAGCTTAGCAAACAATTAAAACAAGTTAAATCTTTTTTAAACAAGGAAAAGTAGCAGTTTCATTTGATGCCATATAACGCATTGACAGTACACACACAAATAAGGGGACTCACTCTTCTTCCTCATCGGTGGCAAAGAGGTTGACTCGGAAACCGCTGTCTGCGTTTCCTGGTTTCTGAACTTCTAACCCTCCCATTAACTTGGCCAACAGATTCAGCTCCTCTTTGGCCAGAGGGTTGGGAGCAGCATTGACCTGTTGACACACAGTGGATTGTTTACTTCAGTATATTTGTGCTAAACATGTTGCTAATAAGATCCTGCTCCTGTTGATGGTGCACCACGAAGTAGAATATGGTTCTGGACCAGGGTCACCTCAACAAATTCCTGTGTGTTATGTATTGTGGACACAGTACAGAGGTCAAGCCTGTTGGAGTCAATCTTTAAAATGTATGCATGTTTACAGTGCTCAAAGTAAACCAGTTTCACCTTCGTGTGCTGAGCAGAATTTTTTGACGTTCCTGACATGTGGGTTTCCACAGGACGGCTAACACTGTACCTGAATGAAAAGATGAAAAAGAGACAACATTTATGCCCATGCAACACAGTGTCAAATATAAACAACAAAAGTATAAATGCTTCATTTAAATGGTTCTTTTGCATGATGTCAGTACATTCTGTGTTAATACTGTATCTCAGATATCACTGTATAAATTAGAAGCTAAGTCAAGGGCTAATGAACTGGCTGGTTTAATCTTATACACAGATGCCACTCACCCTAGAGACTCCATCAGTTCTACAGAGTGGTAGGGAGTCCTAGGCATTTAAACTTTAGATTATATTGTTCCTACCTTGATGATATATGTAAACATTTAATGTAAAACCATGTGTAAGAGTCCCCAACAGTCAGTAGAAGTGATAAAACCCAGGGTTCCCTGGTGACCTGGGGATTAAGGAGACAACCATGAACTGCAGTATCTCACATCCGCTCAGGTACCTTTGATGCATGTCATCTCTCCCCTAATTTCCTGACATCTCTCAACTGTCAACTGTCAATATAGGCATAAAATGCCAAGATAAACTTTAGAGAATGATCAAACATCTTGGGTGACTGGTGGCACATTGTCCAGATGCCTTTGACTTAGTACCTCTAAATATCTCATGACCTGAATGATGGAGTCATAAACCCACTGTCCCACTGACCCATTGCTTAAGGACCATAAAGTCGTACATGTTTGTGCCTAGTTTGGTGACCCTGTCTCCAAATATCTCAAAAGATCCTTCCCGGGTGGCAGAGGTGTAGCTTCCTCCATTGTTGAACTGCAGCCTGTTCACCTCTTCACCAGTGCAGCTAAACATCCTGGAAATACCAGACACAAAAACACAAAATTTCTCTGATGAAAGTAGTTCCATTTAGTGGAACCCTTTAGTTGTCTGTTATGTATTAAATGTTTCACTGTGGACATACGATCCTTAAGTAATTTGATCCCAGCTAAACATACATCACATCTAAAATTAGAATGCAAAGACTTGTTCAACAAAACCTCTGTAATGCAATTAGCTGCAGATAGGCCTACTTAACATCAGATTACAGTGTCTGGGAACAATCAGAAAAGAAAGTGTATGAAAGACAAAAAGGCAAACATTAAAGACCAAAGGTACATTTTTTTCCTCCACAAAGCCACTTGTTTATTCTCACTATCTCCATCATTCTTTAGAGTGAAGATTACAGTGCTACCTTATCAGCCCAGGAACTTGTGTTCCATGAGGCACAGGACCACTGGTGGGAAGTACAAAGCGGCCATTAGAGTTCTGTACTTTGTCCTTCAGGAAAATAGACACCTGGCACAGAAGAAGACACACAGCAAAAAGCTTGTGAGGAGAATGAAACAAAACAAAAAAACCCAGTATCTTCTAATTAATACCCTCTCCATTATTAAATGTTAACTGTTAAATGGACTTACCCTTATATGCATGTCTTGGAAGAAGATTAGAAGAGTTTGTCTAATCAGCTGGAAGTCACCACTAGACAAGGGTGTATACATCTAAAAAGTGAAAATGAAAGTCAAAATTAAAAATATCTGAAGAGAAAAAGAGGAGAAAAGGTGTGTACTTCAGAGTTGGAGATGAACTGAACGGAAACAGAAACACACTCTCCATGTACTAGCAGCTGTATATTCAGTCAAACCTCCATTTCTGTTAGTGGTATAAGTCACTGCCCCTTAAAATGCTGATATTGAATTCTTCTGTTGTTGCCTTGGTATCAGTTTGTTGTTCGATTGGATGGTTTACTTCATCTACCTTATTTTGACTGGTAATACAGGTGGACCTGGATACTGTTTTCTGTTGTGTGACAAACCCTGACATGTGTTTCCTATTCTTGGCCAGGCAAGTTGTACTACATGGCAGTGTCTTTAATCCTGCCCGAGGAGAAGCAATGACTCGCAATGTATCACCAGATATGTTAGTGTTAAGCCAGTTCATGATATACAGTTGAGTATGCATGTGTAAAACTATAATAAAAGTATTCCTGTTTTTACATTTGAAGTTATTTCCCCCTCTACTTTATTTCTCTTTGTATTATTTGACAAGTTTTGGTACCTTTTTGCATTTTTCCTCTTTCAACATATGACCTAGTTCACTAACGGCCAAAACCTCAAACAACTTGCAGCACACTGCAGAAACCACCTATAGACAATGTGTGATGTTGCTACCCATTCCTGTAAAAAGGGTAAAGTCACACGTTTCGTACCTCTATGAGCTGTCGGTATGTCTCATCAACCTGACTGAGAATGCTGGGAGTGTCTTTCACAAAGTCCTTGATTGCATCCATGTGGTTGAAGGACACTAGGAGGATGTCCTTTGGCCGGGGACACAGGAGTACCTGGTACTTGAATGCCATGGTCATCAAGTCATAGAGCTGTAAAGAGGAAGACATGCATCACTTGGTTGACTCATGCATTAAAAACCAGCAACTGATTCTGTTGCATAATAAACAGCAGAGGGAGCCACATCCAGTATATGAGAAATATACATTATATACGCTACTACTGCTATACACTTGTTATATAAATATAAAGTATTGATTGATGTGTTGATTTATGTCATGTAGATGCAAAGCATGTTAGATTTTGAAATACAATTCTAGTGTGTATACTGATGAACCTATAAGACAAACTGGGATCACTGTGTGGTTGATGGTTGATGGACAGTTAGTATGTGGATAAAGTTTGTGCGATGAAGCGGAAATTCAAATTAAAGGAAAAAGGGAACAGAATTGAAAGAATTCAAAATGTGCAGGTTATAAAACAGTATACAGCTGTAGGCCAACATCACTCTACCTTGTCCATGCTAGCTTGATTGAGTCTCATTATGGAGGCATGGGCCAGCCTATCGAACACAGTCCGCAGGGCCTTCTTGGAGTAAAGCTCCTGTGGCTTGAAAAGCTCCTCCAGGAACTTTTTGTTGAACATGGTGGTGATGATGTCATTCATAACTAATGAGGCAAACAGCACAACAGAAATGTCCACAAAAAGTTAACTAAGGTTGGACAAATGTAGGCTCGGAAGCAGGCAGATGAGCATTCTATACTACATGTTGGCCAAAACCATTTCATCCAACGCCTAATCCCAAAGGCCCTAACAAAGCAGCAGCATGGAAAGCCATCAGCATGTATCCTACTTGGTAGCAGGCCTGCAGCCAGGTAGGAAAATTGCAGTGTTTAAACTCCCCTTAGCCTTTTTGTCAATTACCATTGCAACTGACAAAAATTATCACAATCACATTTTCCAAACATTTCACATACTTTTTATCACCTCAAAGGTGAGCTTGGGTCGTATTTTCTGTAGTGCTACTTACCCATAAGCAAGCCAAAGTTCAACTGAAAAAAGGAGCTGTGACAAGTACAACACTGCTATCAGAGCAGAGACAGACAGTGTGGTGACCCCAGATGAACTTCTTGAAATATGCAGAAAAACAAGTGAAATGTACACTTACAGACAACCACAGTACATTGTTTGACAGCTGATCTATGCATATGAGATTTCATCTGTTGTGTATTTATCATAGCCAAAGCAGAGTGAAGAGCTACTAATGCATTGGTGCATAACTATACTGAAGCTCTGGAATAATACCTCTCTTTCTGTCCTCCTCTATCCAGCCAGCTATTGAGGAAACTTTGTGAATTAAAAGGAGATAGATAAATGCAATGATGCTCTGAAAACAACTTCATTCAATGTGGTCAAATGAGGCTCAAATGAGGCATTTAATGAGTCGAACAGTACTGTGCAAAAGCTTTTTTTTGGCACTTTAGATGTTCAATTTCTAATCCATCATGCAATACCATCAGGGTGACATCTGATCAGTCCCAAATGTATCTGCAGCAAGACAAGAACACCAAACACACATCCAGGGTTATAAAATTATCTTCAGCAACAACAACAAAAAAAAACCAGACCAGACCAAACAGATCTGGTGCTGCTGGTTGGCTACAGCAAAATTTTTCCGGTCACTCCACTTTGTATGATGTAAACTGATAAATAAATACTATTCATTGCATTATCTCTGAGAGCATCCTTACTTTACTTTTAGTGCTCTAAAACGTTTGCACCGTACTGCACACATACTGTATGTGTATGTGACTATGATTCATTTCATGTAATTTTGGGAATATAGATAGAGAAGTTCACTGACAATGGACCACTGGGAATTACAGAGTGAAATCTACAGTGGGCTCCTAATTTCATGGTCTCTTGCAACAGAAACTGTTGTCTATGTTAGTTATGATTTTATCAAAATATGTGGATTTACAAACTACAGCCAATCGACTGATTAACTTCAACTCTTGACTTGACTTTATATGACTTTATCTGAATCACCGACACTTGTGAATACACCGTCCTGTAAACGGACAAACCAGCTTTACTGAATGTGCAGTTATAACGTTAACGCTTCACTGCAGGGTGACATTTGTGTTGTTAGCTGGATAGCTACTAAGCTAGCTACCTTTCTTAGCTTTGTCAGCAGGGATATTCTGAGCTCGAAGCCGCTGGTCCAAGATGTACAGCATCTCCCCACCGAGGTTGATGAAGAGCAGCGGCAGAGTCCTTGAAGACATGATGGTATTTGGACGGCCGAATGTCTACAGATAACAGCGGTAGCTAACGATTGTAGCTAGCTCGAATGCTTGCCGATGGGGTATCTATCTGTTTGGTAAAGCCTCTTCTGGTTGCCAGGCCACGAAGAAAACAGCCAATCGGAGGGCTGTGCGTTATAACGTACTGAAAAAGGGAGGGGTCAGGCGGATGTGAAAGCTGCTGTTTAACCATAGTGTGAATTAAATTGAGCATCCAGTGCACACGCAATATAATCCAAAATCCCAAACTGAAAACCACAGCTAAAAATACAATCTGAATAATTCATTTCAGAACAAAATTCTGCAACACTTAGTTTAGAGTAGTGGTTCCCAACCTACACTACTCCAAATTCACACAAATGTAAATGTTTCATATTTTGTGTTTGTTCCTGTAAAATACTGGGCACTTTCACCCATTTAAGCCTCCAAAACCCTTAAAATAAAACAATGACAGATAGATAAATCACTCTTTGGTTTAACTGCTCTCAACTTTGGTCCACACTGAGGCCATAACCTGTAATAACAACATGAAAAAAAAAATCACATTTTTATTGACAATGTTGTAGAAATGTTTTATGCTTAAACACAGTTAATAATGATGTAAGTGAATGAATAATGCAATTTATTTACACTTCAGCAGAGTAACACAGTATAAGGCTAAAGGTAAAATTGACTTTTCATACATTAAATTGCATTTCATTAGCTGCTCGATATGTTTTATCTGCATGAAAGTTACAGAAATAAACAAATTACTTCCACAATAGCAGGACATCAATAACAAATAGAAGATACTGTACAGAGTGGGCCTGAATCCTTCATGTCTTTTTACTGTGAAATCTCTCCGTTCCTGATGCGGATTTCTCGTGCCATCCTGCACACCTCGCAAAGTCCACAGAAAAAAGTCATCAAGGCGTCGTTGCATACTGTTCCCTGTGGTTAAAAGATTGCAAAAAAAAAATCACAACATAAGATGTCAACCCTTAGTTAGGACATTGCTGCAATTGAGATTTCGTAATTTCAGGGAGCACCCACTATTTCTAAAGTTTATCAAGTCTTTCACAAGAGCCAAGTTAACAGTCATTCAGTGGCACTAGCCAAAGCATGAGAAAAAGGCTTCTGACAAGTTTGGAATATATAATAACTAAATTGTTCATATAAGTGACATACCTGAATACCATAGGTCAGTCTCATATGAGTCCTCATGGCTGTTAAGCCTCCTGGCACACAACCCAAGCAGCAGTTTTCTCCATACTTATTTGCTGTGTAGCAGCTCAAAGCAATTGGACAGAAGAAACCAAGAGCACCTGCACAAAATAAATTACATTGTGAATATGTGAAGCAAAATGTTTTTAGTGTCTCAGAAAAAAAGTTAAGTGATGCCAAAATGTGTCTGACATGTATGACAAAAATAAAATAATGTCAAAATGAAGCATCTTGAATTTTACTCACAGATTAAGCAGTCACTACAGCAGGAGCACAAGCCTGTGCTCCACTCTCCTGTTTGGACATTTGTCCCGAAGCTGCCTGCTCCTGGCTGATGGGTGATCACTGGGTTTGACATTTTGGATTGCTGGATCGGCTGGTTGGTTTTGATTAAGCTGCTTAATTGAGAACAAATTGAGCTGTTAGGACTGGAACAGAGTAAAAGTGTAGAAAAGCTGTGGGAGAAATGAACTCAACCAATCTTTCCATCTACCACAGCTGTTTCACATTTGGTCATATCCACTTATATATGATGCTATTAATTTCCAGAGTATGAGACGTCATGCTCTAAGCCTAATACAGATTCCATGTGTTATTCAGACTCCACATCTCAGTCAGTATTAATGAAGCCTCCTTTCAAAGCACGTAATTTATCAACAGACATTTCATGGACTTGGAAGTCTTCCTCAACACAGTCAGTGTGCAACACTTCAGCTTCTCATCCACTAAGGTTGCTCAGAAAATATTTTGCTACGATATTTGTATTTCAGTCTTGAAAGACTTGACTTGAAAAATGTTAAATATTTCAAGAATAACATTGTTTACATCATTTTAGAGTTTCTCCTTTAGGGGTTGTTTGTCTGTACATGGTCTAAAATTAATTAGGTCTGAACTAGATCATAATACTGGTATATAAAAAGTATTATTAACCATCTTGACTGGTAAATGTCACCATAGTAAAGTATAAATGGTCATACTATGAGCCATGAATACAAACTATTACATACAAAGGGATGTAAAATGAATATGAAGCTAATGATCGACCCGAAGTACAAAAGAACATGCAAGGGTCCATGTTATCTTATATCAATGCTGTCAAAAGGAGTTTAATGTGAATGCACAACTTTTAAAATACAAGTACAAATATAGTATTTGAGATTGAATGAGTATCATTTAAAGTAAATTAATAGTGAATTCTAACGTTAATCTGCTGAGAGGAAAGAGAGGTGTCACTTACCAGAAGAATCTGTCAGTCTGCACTCCTCCTGATCAAACTGACAAACTGCACACCACACAGGAAACTGTGACGAGCTTGAGCTGTGAAAAGCTGTTTTGCTAACAAACTGCTGTGTTTGAAGATGAGAAAGATCTGTGGTAATTCACTGGCAACCTTGGACCTTAAAAGAGAATAATCTTGGGTATAAAACAGAACAGCAACAGATCATTGGTACAGGTGTGTCTGTTAGGTTGTTGGATTTCAATGGTTTTTTAATCTCACATGTGATCAGAACAGTTCAGAGAACTCATGCAGCATTCAAGCGTCTTGTAGACCACACTTTAACAGAACTCCCGCAAATGCATCACGTCCTTTTTGTCACTTGGCTTGAGGTTTTAGTCAACCTGTGTCACCACTGCAGTTTGTAAAGGAAGGGTTGCATTTACTCAAGATTTGAATCAGCACAAGACTCCAAGAACTTTTTTTAAAAAATAATTAATTAAAACCCTGTCAGGGAACGGAGATGTTCATATGTTTGGCCTTGTTACACTCACACATGGTTTCATTTGTTAGTATTCCAAAACTAAGATCTGAAATGATTTGATAGATTAATGGAAATTTGCGTAGTGATGGTGATATCTCTGGAATTTATTTTGTCATCCAGCATATTGGATATGAAATGTTGACCATGAGGTTTATTTCTGAGGCCATAACTTATGGTGATGATGAAGTGAGAACCTTTTAGTATTTGGACAAATTAAGAGAAACATTGAAATATAAGACAGCAACCCCACCTGTACAGCCTCTAAAACGACCAGTTTCATCAACATCTCTCTATGTGACAAATGTTTTACTCATTGCAGGAATTTTGCAGTGGATTCATCATATTGTACAGCTGTTCCTGTTATTGTTTCTGGCTCCTGTGTTGTATTTAATAGCCTTTTCACCTTATGCACTTCGCCTCAAGCATCATACTGTCATGTGTGAGTGAGTGAGTGTGAGCAGAATGCAGATTTAAATAATTTTGCACAAAGCCTGCAGAGAAATGCCTAAACAGTACTGAAACAATGAGAAGTTTAGTATTAATACTGTGGTTACTTAATATCTAATATTATGCAACATCTTTCTGGAGACATATCTAACTTTTAGTAGTTTTTGATAAAACTACAGGAAGTTTGCTTTTGACAGATCTGTGTACAATCTAGTTGAGTTAGCTACTTAAGGAAACACTTTGCACAAATGAGCAATGGCCAGTTCACTTGTTTTGTGCAGATACATCTTTAATTGATGGCAATATATTTCAGCACAAACAAAATTTCAAAGCTCATTTTAACATCACTTTCTAGGTCACTTTATTCAATTTAATTCTGACATTTTCAGACAACTCTGACATCAACCTGAAAGCAAAAACAAATAATATTTTATGATGGTACCATGTGAAAAAAGGGAGTTGGTTATCAGAATGCCGCATTACCACATCTAAAGGTGTAAAAGTAAAGACACTGGTCAAGACAAACATGTAGAATCAAGCGTTGTAATATACAGTATATGTTGTCTTTTATTGGGCCTTGGCTGCCTCTGTCCCCGTGGAGGCTATACTTTGCTTCATCTGTAGTCTCTTCTCTGCTTTCTGCTTCTGCACCTCTTTGAAGACCTGTGAAAAGACACACGAAAAAGTGTCAGAGGAGGCACAACACCTTCACAATACCCAACACATTCAACATGTTCATCACCACACTAGAATAACAGGGTCATTTCTTTGCTACCTTAATGCAGAGCGCCTTCTTGGCCACCCAGCGACGGGTGGCCCGTCTGTAGTACTCTGGGGGGAAAGTGTAAGTGATGCCCAGCTGCTCACACACTCTCTCAAAGGCATCATAGCGAACCAACCTAAGGTGTTTCAAAAGCTTTTTTCTTCGGTCAATGGCCATGAGCATCCGCCTCTTGTTAGCTTTGTCCTGGAATGAAAAAAAACATGAATGATTGGAGTTGGAAATCAAATATGATGCAAAGAGGCTCAAATAGGAAGAAATGAGGACCTCAAGTGAAGCAAAATTTCTGCTTATGAGGAGATGCTTAATTACAAATCTAAGAGAGAAACAGTCCAAAAGGTTACATAACCTCTATTCCCTATCTATGTCAGTTTTAACAAAAATGTTCAATGTATGATGTAACATGGAAATTTCCAACCATGACTGTGCTACGCATGTTTTTATTTCATGTGGGGGAGTATATACAGGATATCCTGTAGTTCATGCACGCATGACACCAGAGGAAGGCAGAGAGGAAATGTGGGGACATATACGTGAACAGTTTTAGTGGTGCAAGTCAACACCAATAATACATGTTACGTCAACAAAAGATTTTTTTTTTTTTTTTATAAAGACTGCCCATAGAACAAGTTTCGCCGCTTAGAATGCAAGGGAGAAAAATGATGCTAAAATGATGCCGACTCTACTCCCTCGCTCACCTTGTGATGTTTCTGCAAGTGCTCCTGATAGTTTCGGATTCTTGCTGTCAAACTAGCCACTGAAGGGAAAGACAATAAAAGGGGAATCAGCATACAATTAAAATAGGCTAGATCCTCTCTTTGTACTTCAGTGAGAACATTTTGTACAACACTGAAGCAAAGGAACTCACCCCGGACTTCCACGGAGTCTCGGTCATTCTCATCCCTCTGGACTTTTGCAACCAGTTGCTCCTTTTTCAGCTGTAGCTTGTCACTCTGAGGACATGAACACACAGTAATCAATTACCTGTTTATGACTCTACTTTTTCAAAGAGGCATGTGAGTGTACATTTCAAAAAAAAAAAAAAAATCAATTAATAGCATCAAAATTACTGGAGAAAAAGAAAACAGAATAAAAACATGGCAAGGCAATCTGTTGAGACACGACAACTTACATGACACGCTAACTCCAATGAAAGAAGTCTTTTGACAAGATCATCAGTCCTGTTAACAGAAAAAACCTTGTTAGAAAAGTAGTGGATTCATGTAATAAATATATCAATATAATGAATCATAAATATACTTTTTTTTTTTTAACTCATTTTATGGAAGGTAAGGTATATATGTACGTTTGAGCGAGGGGTACAGCCGCATAATCCATCCTCAGCATTGTTGGAGGAAGATCGCTGAGCTGGCTTGGAGGGCCTGGAAGAAACAAAAGATTTGGTTGAAAGATGAACATTTAAAAAGTGTTGGAATATGGTGAAATTAGTGTCGAAGCAGCCTCATAAGATACCTGTCTTCTTTTTCTTTGCACCCCGAGCATAATGTCTCACTGCTAGTGGAATGGCAAAGCTCCCTGGAACTGAAGAGAGAGGAGAAAAATAATAAATGTGTAGTGAGTGGACAGAATGATGGAAACAACCAAACACAACTTGATGACGGCTAATATGAGCTCAGAAGACGCACAACAGCTGCCTGAAGAACAGGGGAATCCATAAGAAAAACTGCAATGTGTTCCAATGTTGCAGGACAAACTAATACATGACACTGGCCAGACACAAAAACATTACTCAGTGAACGATTAGCGATTGCCAGTCAAACATGACTCAACTATACGGAAACTTCAAATAAGGCAAAGGAACTACTACTACTGCTACTGCTACTACAGGGATGACTCAAGGCATCAGTGACAGTTTCAACAAAGATGCATGAGTGTCACAAGCTGGTTTGTATGTCAAGACTACCGCAACAACACTTAATAAGAAGCACAATAGCTGAAGGGCAATTCAATAATGGAGTATGGTCTGATGATCAGCCTTTTCCCTTTTAAACCACACATCTTTTTGTTCAAAAAAAGCCAAATATAGTTTACATGTGATGAAATAAAGTGGTGGGTTTATATCTCTTTTTATTAAGTCCAATTAATTAGGCAAACAGCCCATTTTTAGGACCCGGACCATAAATGCAAACATAGTTATCTCATGTTTACATAAACCAAGATGTTAATACCCTTTGTAGACATCCTGATCTATTCTAAAAATCTGATTTTTATCTTAAATTTGACATCATTGCAAGTAGGATCAAAGCTGATCTAAAAGGAAAAAAAGATAGCCTTGCTCTTTGTAACTGAGTTTCATATATTCATATATAGCAAGATTCTAACATTAACTGTGTATAGCGACATGTTCACCAGCCCTTCAAGTTGTGAATTAATGCATACCAAGGATGACAAAAGTATGTCTGAGGAGTTCCATGTTCTTTGTACAGAGCCCTCTTTTAATTCTGTTGAAAGTAAGCTCTAAAAGACCCTTTAAGTGTGATCACTCCTGCATGTGGAAGGCCTTTCTGCTAGTTACCAAACGCAGCATCAGAATATATTTTATTGCATGCTACTTAGCATGAAGGGGATATTGTTTGCATTACAAGCTTCTTAGTGAGAGAAGCATTTCTACTCTGTTGTGTGAGATTTTTTTTACAGGCTGATAACTGATCTAGTTTAAGCTGCAGGACTCAGAACACAAACAAGATAATATGTAAAACTTGGCAACTCCCCCCCCTCTGATAACACAACCAGGCACATATCAGATGATGAGAAGACTGTGGTTTTCAATATCATAAAACACCAAATGATGTTGTTTCCTGTGAAATACTGGTGGTTGACCCCTACATCAGAAATCCAGATACATGTAAAATTAACATCATGGTGCACTGAACCTGTTCTGGTGTCTCAGTGCTCTCTGCCCATTTGTCAAAATTACATAAAATGTAAACTTTTCTCCAATTATGCAAAAGATGACCTTTGACCTTTTGGATATAAAATTAATCACTTCATCATTTTTATCCTATTAGACATTTGTGTGAAATGTCGTCATAATTAGCATATGTATAGCAAAATGATTTATTTATTGACTCTATGACCCCTGACTTCTCTGAACTTGTCACAGAGTTGTGGCAAGAAGTGGTCAGCAAAAGGAAACCAACTGGTTGACAGTCGAGCCTGTTAATGGAGTTCAGATACATCGATGACCGTCAAGATGACAAAAATAAGGTGTCACAATGGGAAAATAGGTTTTGGCATTGTAGTAGACTTGAGGGGGAAATGAAACTATAGCTGCTGTAGATGCACTTGATATGATCATAATAAAGCTAGATGTTGCATTAGATTAACCAGACAAAGGAACACTGAGCGGTAGGTAACCACACACAAGCATTGAGTGAGAAGGGACTTTGAAGCAACCAAAACATCAATGCAAGCTCTGCAGCAGAGATGGGTTTGAGGTGGGCTGTTTTGTTTTTTGAGCAATTAACCTGCAACGCAGATGATTTGGCCGTTTCCTTTTTACATTATAAATGCTGTTTGTCAGACCTCTTTAACAGTACTGTTACTAAAAGCAGCCCACCTATAACAATGTCTTTTTTTTTTAGTTTGACCTCAAATTCTAGCCTCTTTCAGTTTGCATTGTTATGGGTTGAACAGTGGACACAACCCACTGTTGCACTAATACCACTTGTAGTTTACAGGCGTGCAATGTCTCCCAACTACCTATAATCGGATTAAAGACATTTTACAGTTTACATCACTGTCTATGGAAGGCAAGAGTAAATACTGACAACTTTTGTCTGTTAAAATCAAGACCTTGAAATTTTAAGGCCTTGTTTCCATAACATTCACTTTTCTCAATAGTATAAGTTTAATTTCAGTTTAGTTTAATTAAATTGAGTGACTATGGGCATTTTTAGGGTAATTAATCTATATAATCTCGAGCTACAACCATTTTGATTTTTTTTTTTTTTACTTTCCTGCCCGTGGAGAAGCTTTTCTGCTAGTTAGCATGAAGGGCATGTTGTCTCCAAAGCAAGCTTCGAAGTGAGGGAAGCATGTTTACAGGACGATAATACAACTCATCTACAAGTTTAAACTGCATGACTCAAGGAGTACAAGCAAGATCACGCGTCAAACACTGGCTACATGTTTGTTGTTATATGTTTAGTTTAAGCTAGGTTAAGAATGAAAACTGGCACTCGGAAGGAAAAAAATCTCACAATATACACAATTATTGAATGTGCCTCAATGAAAGTCATACACTATTAAGCATTTTAATTTAGAAGTGCTGCCTTGAATGTTGTTTCACAAGTAGTGAGGCGCTTTTCGCCACTGCAGCTCTCTGCAGTGCCCACTACTGTTGATATTAGGTGACTGATGGTGCCCTAGCTAAAGTGTCGACAGAATAGCAGTAAACAACCTGGTGTATTGAGATACATTAGCCAGCTGTTTGCTCCACAAATCTGCTCCGGTTCCGTGTGTTTTTCCTTCTAGCTCGCTCGGACTTACCGCAGCTGACTCTCGGTCCCGTTAATAAAGCCGAGTTGCATGTCCACGGTTTCACTGGCGTAGCAGAGGACAGCTCTCGCAAAACACCAGTTGAGGATTTCAGGACGGACCGCAGAGCTATGTTTGTGAACATGGCTCACAGGAGAGCTAACAAGGTAGAAAATAAATTCACTGAAAGTGAAGGAAATGTGACAGGTAGTTGTATTCGACCCCTACATGAGGTTCGCCATTTTTACTAGACCAAACTAGCCGAGTGAGGACGGAGGAATGTTTGTCCTAGGCTAAGATAACGATCCCAGAACACATCGATGGGTTAAATTAGAGCGATCAGTTTCGATTTCTCTCACAAAAACAACTGTGAATTTAGATTTGTAGCCTCCTTGTTCACTTTTAATTTATTTTTAGCATTATAGATTGTTAGTTAAACAACTAAATCATTCTATTTACTGTATTTGAGAAGGTTTGTAGTGGCTTTAATTAGAAACAAGTAGGTTTAAGGTTGAATGATGTGTTTTAGCTAGTGTAAAAAACACGAACAATAAGGGAATTAATCAAAAATACTCAACAGTAATGGTTTATATATTATTGTAAATAAACTAAATAGTATTGTATCTGTCCATATTAATATGAATATGGACATTTACAATACCAAATTGCTCTGGTAGCTATGTTATATATTTCTAAATTACAGTCAAAAGCAGAATATATTCAAGGGTGGAGGTTTCAAAAAATCTTATGATCTTATAATAATAAATAAAACTTCCCAGTTTCTAATTGAATGAATGTTAATCCCTTTATGCAGTGTAACATCCATTTCCTCCATCTTTTACAACTAAATTGATTTATAAAGCTGTTTGGGCTTCACTGAAATGAATGAGCAAATATAGTCATAAAATTAAGTGTCTCACTAACCTCAGAGTTAACCTCAGAGTTATCCTAAGTCAGGATAAAGTTGATACTTTTTAGACCCATTTCAATGAAAAAACAAACCCACAAAAACAACAAAACCTTAGTTGGATTTATTTAGTCTAGAAACCATTTGCCAAAAAGGGCCTCAGTTTACCTGAAATCACCCCGGGTTTAATAAGGTTGCTTTGTTGATTGATGATTTTAGTTTACTTCACTGTGTTTTGGAAACTGTAGGCTACTCTGCTTCCATTTTAAATCACATCCATTCGCTACAGAGAACAACATTTTGGATAAGAATGGTTGGTAAACATCAAATGTCGAGGTAAAGTGGTGAATCATCAGTCAGTGGGAAAAACATCTTTCTGTCTTCATAGGGTTTAATATTTTTTATTCAAAGAAACTGTTTAGACCATGTCTTTCTAGCATAAAAGTACTTTTGTGGATTCCACAAGATGTTGGAAGCATTACTTTGAGATTCTGCTGCATGTGTATATGATTTCATCCCACAATTTATTCTACCACATCTAAAAAGTCTTCAATTGGATTCAGATGTGGTGACTGCCGAGGCCACTTAAGTTCACTGAACTCATTGTCATGTTCTTCAAACCAGTTTAAGACGACATGGTCAGAAACAATACTCAGATACGGTGTTTCTTAAGAAAACATTCCTCATACAAGCCTAGACTACTGACACAAGGCAGGTTGGGTCCATGGATTTATGCTGTTGACATTAAATTCTGACCCTACCATCTGCTGCCTCAGCAGAAATTGAGATTCATCTGACCAGGCCACGTTTTTTCAGTCTTCGGCCGTCCATTTTCGATGAGTCTGTTCCCACTGCGGCCTCAGATTTCTGTTCTTGGCAGACAGGAGTGAAACCTGACATGGTCTTCTGTTGTAGCCCATTTGGACTCAAGGTTCAACGTGTTGTGCATTCTGAAATACTTCTTCTGTCCACCACAGCTGTAAAGAGAGATTATCTGAGTTACCGTAGCTTTTCTGTCAGCTCCAACCAGTCTGGACATTCTCCTCTGACCTCTCTCATGAACAAGGTGTTTCTGTTTTCACAACTGCCACTTACTGGTGTTTTTCACACCATTCTGTCCAGCCTGTCTGGCACAACAACAAGCATCCTATGGTCAAAGTCACAAAGATTTTGTTTCCACATTCTGATGTTTGATGTGAATGCTAACTGAAGATGATGATGATTTTATGCACTGCACTGCTGAATGAATAAGCAGTAGCACTGCTGTTTCTTATTAAGTGCTTGATGAGTTTATAACACACAACAATATCATTTATACAAAGTTTGGTACAGATAAAAAATGGACATTATAATCATTAAATATCAACATGATTTTTAGCATCAAACCTAGCATACCTAGTATGTATTTACAGCTGTGTGCTACGCTGGATCAACTTATCACAAACTCAGATCTACATGAAAATCTTGCAAAGCAGTTATTCTTATAATCAGGGAAGAACTTTTAGTCATTCTGAGTATCATTCAAGGCTAATGCTTGTAGAAAAGGGAAGTCATCCCAAAGAACGACTGGGTCTGCCCCTTCTTCTGCTATACAGTCATCGCACGGTCCAAAAAAACACTGCTCCCTCGGCATCCCATCAGTTGCCATATTATGGTAGCACTTTGGACTGAAGGATTCTTGAGCCTCCAGGAGCGGCTGTGTGGACTCAGAGCGGAGGTAGACATGAGGCTCTTTGGGTGGAGGGCTTCTGCATGGGCCGGAGAAGATCACAGTGGCATAAGGAACAGAGTAGCTGTTTGAACCAGAGTATCCAGGGATGAACGGTGAACCACAAATGGAATCTCCCAGGTCACTGGTGTCCTCTGCACTGTTTAACCAAAGATCATCCTCTTGTTTGCTTAGTTTCATTGGGAGGTCAAGGAAGCTGAGGTGGGACAGGTATATTGGATTGGGCTCATCATTGTCCCAGGAAGGATGTGTATCCTACCAATGGAAAATGAATTAGTCATCAGTGTTTTACATCTCATATATTACCTGACATTTTCAGGAATATACAGTCTGCTAGTTAAAGATTCTGTAAAATTAGACTTTAAACAATAATATAGCAGCAAACAACTATTTTATACGTTGAGATATAGTGGAGTAATGGCGTGCTGTCTGCCATTTGGTGCTGGGCAGGGAGTGTGCACTGGAAGTATCAGAGCCTTTTTGCTGAAAGCAGCTGCCTGTTGCAGCTAGAAATGAGGCTGATGAGAGCAGTGAGACTGAACCAAAACATTACAGTTACAGGATGTAAAAGGAAGCTCCACAGAACTGAAGGTAACCGCAGAGTCAGGTGATAACTCTTGGTGGGTTTGTCACTACTAGCAACACTGTTCATATGACACAGAATAACGTTATCCATTAAAAATACAGAGTAGTGCAAATTAGGGCCTTGTTGCATAAAACCATTTTATCTTGCACAGGTTAATTTTCTGCACCTGTGTTGACTCTGATGTCCATCTCTTGATGCTGCTGTTAGCTGGATCAGGAACATCTGGCCAAAAGCGTCCCTTCAGCCTGGAAATAGAACAACAGAAAAGAAATTTGTTGAGAATAAAGGACATTGCAGCTTCACACCTTAATGCAGTACGGCAATGATCTCACCTCTTGTGGTTGGAGAAACAAGTCATGACTATGAAAATGACCAACAATGACATTCCAACACCAGACGCGATTACAATCATCACAACAGTAACGGCATCTGAGAAGAGAGAAATACATGTTATCAATTAAATATCTGATATGAGAATACACTCCTTTTTCCCCCAGCAATGTTTCTAGAAAGCCATTGGAAAATAATAATGATACCAACCAAATGGCTCTATTTCGAAATGAATTGTTGACCCATTGATGCTCCCACCGAACGTGCTAACCATCATGAAAGCTTCGTACAGAGACACAGTGTTGAGGTCTTTCAGGACCACCCTTCTCTCTTTTGGGTGAGCACTCACAACTGAAAGAGAAGTCAGACATCAGATAGCACCACGTTCACAAAAAAAGAAAAGAAAAGAAAGAAAAGCATCATTTAGATGTTTCACCTACCATTAATGGGACCCTTCTCATCCCAGTAGAAGACTTTGTAGCCCTGGATAATCCCATTTCTTTGGTCTAATGGTATTTCATCCCAGGTAAGCTCAATATGTGACTTCCAAGTCTTTTTAATCCGTATTTTCGGAACCACGGATGGAGCTTTAAAAAGAAATATATTCATTCTGAGTGATTATTACAGTTACAGTGACTACGTAATTCATTTATATCCACAAGAGGGCATTATTCCATCACATATGAGATGTCTCTGATAGACATCATAATACATATAGTTTTTACTCATGTGGCAAACTCTTCTCTCACTTTTTCAAAGTTGAGGCAGCCTGACTCTCACACCCCTGCTTGCTCTTTGTGTGATTTCTCTTGGTATCTTTGGTGACTTACCCTTTTGTCTTGAGTAGGCATTAACAGTCTGAGGAAGGCCTATCCCATCCTTAAACCTGGGATACACAGAGATTCCATAGGGCTTGTAGGGCTCAAAGCTTCCTATTGATGAGGGTGAAGAAGTTAGAGTGGATCTGTGCTCATAAACTCCAAACAGTGTGTACAGGCAGGTCGTGCACAGGAAAAGGAGGATCTTAGGATGTGAGTGTAGGAGTGATTGTTTGAATTTTTGTTGTAAAGGATGAGCTCCAGAGTAGGAAAACCAAATAAAAGGTGGGTAAAATAAGGAGCACATGGACTTTGAAACCTGCAATACAAATACTATAAAACGTACCTGTTATAATGATGCTGGATTCGTTTCTGTTTGCAAATTCGAACCGGGTGAGGGAGAGGTCTGTTTTTAACAAAGGTCTCCATTCAACCACATAACCAATGATGCTTGATGTATCCACGCTTTTCCACTGGACCAGAAGGGCTCGGTCATCGCGAGGAGTAGCTGTGATGTCTGATATCACCTTAAGAGCTTACAAGCACAAAAAACATATTACGGGAAAATTACATGATACTATTTCTAAACCAGTTGAAGCACATTCAAAAATGTCAGTTTTACCTTTGGGTTGGTAAATCCGAACTTCATTGGGGGAGGATTTCCCTGCTGCATTTACAGCACTCAGATACACTTTCTTTGCTTTCCTGGGAAGTTGGAAAGTACAGTAATTCCCCATTGAAGAGCACACCTTTCCCTTTACACCTGGCAGTTTTTGCACTGAGACGATATATGACACATTTCGGCTGTTGGGGCGGAATTGTTTTGATGGCTAAAACAGAAAAAAAAAGTGAGAAGACATTTTAAAGGCAGACCTCATGGACTCAACCAGAGCTGTAACAGAAAATACCATCAACTTGTGACAGGTGTCAAGCAGCGTGTGTGATGTGTGCACCTTCCAAAACAAGTGTATGTTGATTTGTTTGTGCATGTGATCCCCCGATAGTTTCACCCACGAGTCTAGGCGTCCAGTGGGAGCTGAAAACAAAGAGACGGCTGTCAGCTTCGCATCTCGTCAAAAGCCTGCATTTCTTTCCTCACTCTTTAGAAAGTAAAACTTTTCCATACAAGACAGGTCTATGGATTCACTGCCAGAGTGTGTGGAAAAACTCAATACATCAATTCAGCTTGGGCTATAGAGCAAAGCAATGGGTGATGTAGAACATGACATTAGCATATATTGAAAAGAGCAGAAAATGGAAGAAAAGGCAATAGATTGGAAAATGTTAGAGTGACTGATTGTGTCACTCTGAATTGATCTGACGCCTACCACTCTCCAAGGTGACTCCAGACTGGCTGCTGCTCCATTCACTCCAGGGACTCTGCTGGTATCTGACTCTAATCTGGGCAAAATACTGAGTCCCATGGAGCAGGCGACACTGGTCCACAGGTCTGGTTGGTTTAATCCGGCTCACCAGGATCTAACATACATCCAAGAGCACACAAACCATACATATATGACTCCAGGCACACACATTATGAGAGTTTATACTAGTACCATATGGGTGCTTATAGCTACTGCATCCAAAGTTAATCAACTGAGCCTTCAGTTGATATCGACACCGGATTGATTTGCACTCACTGGTTGCTCACTCCATTGACTACTGTCAGCAGTCTTAAATTGGACCTCCAGGTTCAGGCGGAAGTTACGTATCCAGGCCTGGTGATGCGATAAGCTCCAGCTCAGCTTTAGGCAGCCGTACCTTTTGGGCACAGCTTCAACCTTTAGAATCTTTGGTGGGTCAAACTTGGCTGAAATAAAACAGTCAACAAAGCAATTACTCCATGTAATTTGGATTTTGGAAACTTTTAGTTTAGTTCTAATCTGAGCATTTTTACATTAGATTTGGCCTGTTTTATGTATTACTATCTACTAATCAGTTTTTCCAAAAAATAAATACCTGTGGAAACTTTGAAAAATCCAAAAGGTCATTCAACAGCACTTACAGCTGTTCCGAAGGTATTTCCAGAGTCCCCAGAGACACTTCTAACCATCTGGATGAAAAAATATTCTGTCAACTGAAAAAAGATTTTTAACCCAAAGAAAGATGGTTGCTGGAAGCGACAGATCTTCTTATTCAATTTGTACGACATGAGAACAAAGGTATATAAAATCAGCACGCTTTCTTTTCTGTTACATTTTTCTCTATAAAAATGTTATTTTATATTTTCATGCAAAATACTAGTTTTATGTTTTAGAAAAGGAAATACACATGAATATATGTTGCAAGTTGGGTTACAAATATTTTTTTTATATGCAACAGATGGAATATTTTTGTTCATCCAGATGGTTAGAAGTGTCTTTTGAGGATTCTGAAAATACCTCCAAGTGTTGTTGAACAACCTTTTGGGTTTTTCAGTGATCACCTCTTTGACATTTCGATGGAGGTTACTGCTTGCATGCAATATACAAATCTGTGAAAAGATTCAATAAATAAATATTCTACAATTCTCACTTGCACTGACAGGTTCCAAAATGATGGGTACTGAAACTGCCTCTCCAAGTTCATTCACCGCCTCCACATATATTTCCATTTCAGAGAACAGGACAAAGTCAGAACGAGGGATGGTATAATGGTGGACTCCTGTTGGTAGCTTGTAAGTATAGTTCCTGTTTGAATCCCTGAAATGAAGAAATCCTATTTAGGGAAACACAGTTGTGCAACCTCGAAGACATATTTTGTAAATGACACTTTAAACATCCATGACACCAAAATGATGTGTGCTTTCTGGTAATTGTCTCAGTGTATTCCTGAATATTACCATATCTTGGTGTGGAGGGTGTACTGTGTGAGGAGGTGCGTCTCCAGCTGCCCAGCGTCCCAGCTACAGGTCAGGGTGTTAGAGGTAGTGAGGTTTGTCTGACAGCTGAGGTTTTTTGGTGATTCTGGTGGATCTATAGATGGAAAAAACAAGGTGAACATGTTTTTCTTCAATGGAGTTGTTAAGGAAGGTGGTATTCATATTCCTGTATTTCTACATCCCCATTTTTTGTACTTGGTCTCTTACAAATAAATGTAGATAAAACTAAAAATCTTTTGATTCTATGCATGTTTTTGTATTATATTTTTTTTTGCAAATGCAGTTTCTGTAATACACTGTATATCTGGGTAAAGAATGCCAATTAAGAGTAGAATTATTCCAAATTAAACAGTGCGGCTTCTTTTTGATACAATCTCTGATACAATGTTTTTTTTTCTTATGTTTACCTCAACTCAACAATTAACTGTGTGTCCCTCAAAAACAAAAAATTTACATGTTCCCAATTTTTTCTGTTTTGTTTGTTCACTAGCGATACAGGCAGCTTAATTTGATCAGCAATGAACAAACATGTGAAAGAAGAAATCTTTCTCACATCCAGCTCTGATCTCCACTCCTCCTGCTACTTGAACGGGAGAGGCCTGTAAACAGCAGGTGAGGAAAGCCCTGGTGTGATTGAAGCTTGGTATAACAACCTCAGAAATCCCGCCGCTCTCGCTGGCCACAGGGCTGCTGGGAATAAAGCGATCGTCAAGGCGCCACTCTATATGAACAGCTTGTCCACTGACGGGAAGGCAGTCTTCTCTGATGACACAGGTGGCTGTGACAGGTGACCCCAAAGGCACCACTGAGCTGGACGTCCGGATGTTCGCACATGGTTGTATGACATCCTCTGACAATGAGAAAATTCATTTGAAGGTGCCATGTTGAAGATGGTCTAAACTGTAAATGCCAGAGGCGGGAGTGCAAGTCAGCAGCAAATCTCAAGTCTTAACCGTCAAGTTTCAAACAAGGCCCCAAGTTACTGTGGTGACAATCAAGCAAGTCAAGTCGAATCACTGCTGTAAGTCAAGTAAACAAGTTTTTTTTTTCATCACCTACCTTAATGTGTAGGATTTTTTGGCCTTGGCGGAGGTATGCACTCTACTGAGTGCAATTCCAGTTATTACTATTAAAATGTGGCACTAATTTACCTCAAAAAATATCTACAAATATGCAAATCTTTAATTAAAAGTCCTTTCGAGTCCTCTGTCTTAAGTCATAAAGTCATGAATACCAAGTCAAAGTCAAGTTCAGTCTTTTATCTGTGTTAGTCAAGCAAGTCTGAAGTTCTCATATTTGTCTGACTTGAGTCAAGTCATGTGACTCAAGTCTCCCACCTCTGGTAAATGCCTTTTATAAATTATTACTGTTATGAACAATTCAACAGCTTTATATTGAAGTTTGATAGAATCCAAGTCAGAGGAAGAGCAGGTGTAATAACAATTGTCCTTGTAACCGCTGCTTGGGTATTTCCATTTAGATTTGTTATTTCATCCTGAGAGCAACACTCACCATTCCTCGCTCCATTCACAAATGCCACCAGCATGACAATCACTGACATCCATATGGATATCATGTTGATATAACCTGTTAGGGAGCAAAAATTAAATGCATTATTCTTAAATTACAAACTTTCATGCCCTATCAAAAAAATATTTCAATTGCTGTTCCTTCCCAGCGACACGCTACATTGTGTGAAGGAGGAATTGAGAGTGATAACGTCTCTCGTTTCAAAAGACATCATCAGCGCAATGTTTCAACTGCTTGGTATGACGGGCTGATGTGAGCAAGTATGTGATCTCCATAATGTATAATATCTCAGTATAAACAGACACCTGGAGAATGCATTCGCTGCTTCCCTGAAACAGTGAAGAAAAATCTGCAGTGCTGCCTGTGTGAGCTATTTGCAGAGCAGAATCACAACAAACACATACAATGATACGTGACACACTCATGAATAATAATAATAATAATAAAAAAAAATCAACATTCATGGCAGCTTGGGTCCACAATTATGTAGCATGATTACACAAAGGATGTTGCTTCCCTACTTGTGACAAAATGAAATTTAAATTCTCTGCAGACAGAATAAATAAGTATGCTGTTCATGCACAGTGAATCTTTCCTCTTATACTTTTCTATTACAGGGATAAAACCTCTGAACAGACAGGAACATTGTAACTGCCAGTTGTTAGAAGGTAATCATCCTTGTTGGGCATGCGCTCTATAGCTGACTGGTCATGTATAATGATTAGAAGATGGGAGCTTGTAAGCTAAGCAGATGGAGGCAATCTTCTGGCATATTGTACGTCTGACATAAAGTCAACAACCTGCTTCTTAAATTTGAGAATAAGGTGGAACCATCAAATTGCAAGTACACAGGTGTGAGGGAAGTTGAAATGAATTTTGAGGTCTGTGTTGTTTTTGGAATACTCACCATTACACAAGCATGAACGTTTAAAATTCACTGGACTCTGGTCGCTGGTTAACAAAGCGACGCCAACAGGACAAAGACATGCCTTCACGGCTCGACTGTGTCTCTCTGTGTCGCACAAGAGGAAAGAAGTAGCAGTTAATAGTCTGAAGTAGAGCTGGAACAATTCACTGGTGAGTTGAGCAACAGAAAATTAATGGACGATGTTGTGCGAACAACAAAAAGCAAAAGCGTTTGACATGTGGAACACAAAGCGAAAATTTCACATATGGGAACATGTGGTTTTTAGGTATTTCACAAGCAAGACATTACATGTGAAAAGGAAGATTTCACATGTAACAGCATATCTCATAATGGACCACACATACGCACATGTGGCTATACAACTTTTTGCAATATATTACATATACATGTATATATTACATCATTACATCCATATGAAAACAAGTTGTTTTTTGTAAGATTTATGAATCATTGCAGTGATTTATCAAGCAAAAAAACAAAAAAAACTGCTAGTTCCTGCTTCTCAGCAGCAGCACATTTGAGCACAGAGTCAGTAAGTGAGACCCCAGCAATGAGAAAGAAACTTCCTGTGATCTTGGTCTCCTTTTCTGATGCTGATGAGAAACTGAAGAACCTAAAGGACGTTATGTATTCCTCAGGCTAAAACATGTGGGCCACATCTAAATTCGTATTGTCAACAGACTCTTGAGAGTTCAATTCAGCTTATTTCTGGTATAGAACAACCTTCCACTTTTGAGCAGAAATTTTATGTCTGGACTGTCGAATTGCAAGTGAACCCATGAGACGAGGAGGTATTACTTAAATAATTTGTAACTATCACTCAAACTCACAGACGGATTGCTGCCCTCAGTCCACAATAGCCAACTATTTGGTGAAGTCTGCGTTTAGCGATGTGGGGGAAATGGAATTTCTGCTTGTTTCTTATCAGCGGTGTGCATAAAGGCTTCCATTTTCCCTTGCTGTCCTTTTTTTTTTTTGTTGCAGTTTCTGCTTACTACTAATAGGTAATTGCCTGTGGCTCGGACAAAAGGCAACTGGGAGAATAAATTTGGAGTGCATTTTGTCAACAGACAAAATTTGGCTTGCTTAAAATAAAGACTGTGTGAATTAAGAGTGGCCATTTTCAGTGTATTGGCCAAACATGTTCCAGATATATTGATATAAACATGTTGTCTAGATTCATTTTTCTTGTCTCAGTGAGTCATGTCACCATGTGAAAAGACATACAGTACATGTATTTTGCTATAGCCACTGTTTCCTTTCCCGTTTGGGGTTACAAAACACCCACTATCAGGATTTGGCAATATCCTTGACACAGAGCGCAATGACAAACTTGCCATGGTTTCCCCTTTTTTTGGTCATATTTCTCACACTATACACTGTGTGTTTAAAGAAGCCTTTTAAAAAGTGTAAAAGAACGCTAAATTTGTTTGTATAAAGACAGTTTTCAATGAAAGAACAGTTCCTTGAAGCTAAGACACAGTGACCTTTTGTGTCAGCAGTTGTAAAACTCCCAACATCTGAAGAGGAGGAAAGAAATCTGTTTCACATCCGCTTTTTAAATGGACGGCTAGAGCATAAACATGTTTTCAGTACCTTAACATGCTAATATTACTTCTATAGTGACAATGTGAAGAAGAATTTCACAACAACAAAACAGCAGAAAAAAAACGAAAAAAACGAAATCACTCTGCATAAAAATCAAGCTAACACATTTATTTATTTTTTTTTTGTAAATCCAAAATGCTTTTAGTAAGTTAGTAAGTTTTAATGTGACACTTCTTCTTTTTTTTTCTTTTTTTTTACCATTAAACATAAAGTATCCTTTTTTTAAAAAAGGATTGTCTTATCTTTTAAATCCTAATTATCTGAGGATCCTCTGCTTTAGTATTTCATGATTGTTAAAAAAAGAAAACACTGGCATCATTTGACAGGAAACTACAAAGGATGATAAATGGCACAAGTAAAATAGAGAATGGCTATTCAATCAGATTAAGCGAGCGCTTTAAATTAAATTAAGTTGATCAGTCCTTCAGCTGGATCAGGATACAACTCTCCAACCTGAACCAGTGTCATCGAGAAATAAGTTTTGCAAAGTTTCCTTTTTCAATCTGCCCAAGTATCCAAATGAAAGGAGCAGCAAATAGCTTGATGTGAAGATAAAGGAGAGCCATCATAGAGGGCTGCCACTCACCACACAGCAGCTGCAGCAGACCCAGAAGGACGAGTGGCTCTCATCAGCCCTGATAGCACCAAATGAAACGGTGTGGCTCAAAGAAGTTCAGATTGGAGGACATATGTGTGTGTTAGCCAAGCAGCAACAGCAGCAACAGCAGCAGCACCACCAGCGGCAACATCCTTGTTTTGAATTTGTGAAACTTCACTATTTTCCAGGAAGGAACACATGACTGATGGGGCCCAGCTACAGGAGAGAAACATGAGTCGTTTGAATTCAGGGTTTTCTCGAAAGAAGATAGCTGAATAGTTCAGGTAAAAAAAAAAAAAAAAAAAAAAATCTGGATGAAATTCCATAATTCTTTAGGTGATATTTATTTACTGTCACCTTCTACAGGTATTTTGCCTCACAAAGGCTCACAGCTGTAACTACAGAAACAATAAAATTGCAAAATTGAGAAAAAAAAAATGGGTTTGAAGTTTTAGGGTTTCTTAGCCAATTTATTTTTGGGAAATGTAAAGTGTATCTAATCTTGGCTAGTTAGCATGAACTTTTTGCTTTTAGCAGGACCAGTGTATCTGATGGCTTTTTTTGTTTTTCTCCATTACAGTTACATTTTGTTATTGCCTTATTTAAGTGGTATATTCAAACCCAGTTTAAGATTCTGGATCATCAGAAAAAGATCTTTCAATTATAGTAGAAGTGGTGAATAAATTGGTGTTAAAAAAAAAATTGAATTAGCTTTAGCTATAAGGTTAGCAGTGAGTATGATAGTTAAGGATAGCTGGAGAGCACTCAAAGTGCAAAATGCAAAACTCAAAGTCTCAATATTCAAGCTCAAAATTTTATATATGAAAATATATTTTATATTCATGGTAAAACAGATGTCAAACAGTCAGTTTTGACCAAATATACAGTTAGATTTTGGCTTTGTAGGACAGTGATTGTGATTGCTGATGGAGTAATAAGACCAGTCCTTGATCTACAGATTACTGATCGTTGCTTGTATGAGAGTACAGAGGAATTTATACTTCATTGGATCATCCTTCCCCACAAGGTGTTAATATGGCGGCTGTCAAATGCCCTACATTATGACTCCAGGGAACTGCCCAGAGGAATGCGATAAGTCTAGTTCGGCCTGACCCCTCTGTGTTGAGTGTGACGTTTGAAGTAGCAGATCTGCCGTATCACAGAGACTGCCTCAAAAAGCAGTCATCTCCCTCTCTGCGCCTGTCCAAGCCTTTGTCAGCACGGTAATAGGACAAGCCTTTAAATGGGATTGTAAACTGTGCTTTGACCCCCCAAGGGCACTTGAAACTACTTGCCATATCACGTTTATTAGCTTATTAAATTGTAAAATGATTCTCTGGCTGAGGCTTCCATTCAAATGGTGTGCGAGGCGAGTCAGTGAGCTCACCCACTCAACTTTTAATCTAACAGCTGTATCCCTGCCTGGTCACTCTGCTGCCCTCAAACAGATAATGGAAGCTAACTGTTAATCAAGAGGTGCACAGTAGTAGGTTTCTGAATAGGTAGCAACAGGAGAAAGGGAAAAAGCAAGCACCAATTAAAAATATATTAACTGGTTATCATGCATTGACATATTTTGCTTGATCTTTTTTCCTAATCAGCAGTAATGAACAAAGTGTTTTCCATCCACTGGGTATTACATGCTACGTTTCAGTGAGCAGTAAAATTAGCTGAGGGCCCCGAAGCTAAGTTGAACTGATGAAGCTTTACTAGGTTTGATTACGGTTCTTGTTCTGTACTTAATATAACGCTGTCTCCTCTTTAGATTCTTATTCGCATTAGAGATGTGACTAACCCCAAATTAGTCACTGCTGGAAATAACCTCTCATATCTATCTAATGTTATACAGAAAATTACAGTAGTTAACTGCAATCACAACTGCAGTAATTATGGCTTCTGCTAATCATGGATGCCTACATTCACATCTAAAAATATTTAGGGCCAACTCTTTAACTGCACCCTTTTGTTGAACAATTGCCATTCCCACTACTCCACTCAACCCTACTACATCAAAATGAATACACTGTATCCTGGATAAACCATATTTTTCTCATAGTGCCTGAAAGTGTTGTGAAATCAGCCCTATAACCACAGCGCTATGACTCACAGATATCTATGTGCAATTGAAATGTCAGTACTGATGCAAGGCCAGCTACTGGACCAGTGTTTATCTTCGAATGTACACTTCAATGAACCACTTATAAAATTTACACACAAACGAACAAACAAAGAATTTATACAACAGCCTGTTAAAACTGGGTCATGTAGTTTCAGGACTAGCATGTAAAGTAAAAATTATAGTAGAATTAATAGGTATTAAAAAGGTATGAACAACATCATGACAAATGTGTCCATTTACTTGATTTTATCTATTTCAAACCTTGAAATCATCCATCTCCAGGACAACTGAGGGAATTATATATTGCTGAAAAAGCAATGCGGTTGAAAGCAAAGGAGAAAATAGTAAGTGGACCTTGAGTTACGATTTTCTTTTTTTTTGTTCAAACTCTATATAAACACTTTAAACAAGAGTCTACAGCCATACTAGCGGCTCTGAGAGGCTGTACTAGCTGGCTGAACTTGAGCTAAATAATGCTGCTCTCAGCATTACAATGCTAATGTCACAATTACAATGCTAACATGCAGATGTTTAGCAGATATAATGATGTTAATCTGTATTTAGCTACTCAACATGCTAAAATTTGCAGATTAGCACTAAACACAAAACACAGCTGAGGCTGATGAGAATGTCATTAGTGGCAGAAAAATCAAAAAGCGCCACACAACAGTGTTTGTACAATTCATACTGAGAGGGACATGAATGTGTGTGGCCTACCAATGTGGCTATCCGTGTGATAGTTGGGGAGATGTTTTTACTTAAAACCAAACATGTCAGGGAGGAAGCAAGTCAGGTGTTGTTGAGACATCTCAGTCGGGACCAAAGTGGTGAACCATCTGACAGACAGACAGACAGACAGACAGACAGACAGACAAGTGAATCCCTTGAGCCGCAACAGCTCACATGGCTAAAAATGTATATCTACTTCTGAAACGGACATGTAGCCTGCAGCGTGTGTGCTGTACCAGCTGCCCACACTATCAGAACTCCCAGATGGAGGAACCATATGTCCTAAAAAGTGGCAATGTGGAAGGTGTATGTGTTTATCTTATGTGTTTATGTGTTCCCTTTATCGCTGTTATAATCCTAACAGTAATAACATGTATGGAGGCTGTTCGTATATGTACTGAACGGTGTCCAGACATATGCATTTATTTCACACAAATGTATGAAAATATGAGAGAATTTTGTCAATGTTGCTTTGAATCTCTTTTGTAAAGTGTCTGCATCAGTTAGTTTCCCTGTGCACTCATGGTACTTGGCATTTGAGATCGATTCTGATTCAGTTATAATCACAATCATTGGTCATATTTAACTTTCACACTGGATGATGCTTAATACGTCTACATACCCCTGAGCTGTTGTACACCAAGGAGTATGGCCTCTTGCACTTCACTTCTTCTGCTTCTACCAAGAGGGTTGGCCGAGCGAGACAGTGAGACACTGTCAGAGAGAGAGAGAGAGAGAGAGAGAGAGAGAAGAGGGGGTCAGACAATCTCCGACTCATGCTCCTGCTCCTTACATGCACCCAATCCACTCCTATCTAGTACCTGTCACACGCTGGCTGCAAAATGGAATTGACTATTGATTTCCCCCTTACCACAGGTCAGTTGTGCTGGCAGGCTATAGTGGGCTCACTGAGAGCCTCACGCGGGACAACGAGAGGAGAGGAGAGGAACACGAGGGGGAAACACACACATTACAAAACACACACAGACACGCACGCACGCGTACACGTTCTTATTAACGGCTGTATTCTCTGGGCTTGTGTAAAGGAAGACAATGAAGTCTGCTTTACAAGACGTGTGTTAGAACATTTGTCATTTGTTTCTGTGACTTAAACATGGCTGGCAAACTGACTACATGCCCTCCTTGCAGGCCTTGCACTGGTGACGGTGCATTAATTAACAACTGGTTATTATGTTTGGTCAAATAATAAGTAAGTGTTTCTGGAATAAAAATGTAATTGAGGAACCAGTGAACCAGGCTTTTAACTGAAATGACCTAATAAAGTTTGACACTTGATTATACTGTTGCCTTCAAAAGAACAGATTTGAAATGACAGACATGAAAACACGATCTGAGCTGTATCTGTCCTTGTGCTGAATTTTATGAACTCAAACGTCAGTTAAAACAGGTCTACAGCAGGAGCAGCGACCTCTGCAGGTGATTTCGACAGGACACAGCTGCTGGCTCAGACTAAACCACGGGTGCGGTTTAAATCACAGCGTCTGAGAACACAGCAATGTGGTTCAAGTGATCATGCGACATTGACCCAGACAGCATAGGTTTAAACCCATTTTAAACCTTAAACCACAGCTAATCTAATGACAGAGCAACAGCCCCAGTCTGTTTAAATCGCAGCATCAATGATGCACAAGAATGTTACGCGCTTAAATTGGGGTGGGATTTGTTTTGCGAGGGAGAAAACGTTGAATAGTCTGATGAGATGAAATATGAGATGGTTCCCAGATTTGTAAAGCTTCATTTTTCTTCACTGAGACAGAGCAGTGGTTCCCAGCTTTTTTGGCTGGTGACCCTTTAAAATAATGTCAACTTGAGAGCCCTCAGAGGTTATGGCATTATTACTGAGAGTTTGGCAGAAGTGTAGCCTTCCTGGACTGTTTCATGGGAACTGTTTTAGTGGCCTGAAGAAGTGAAAGTATGCAGTATTTCACCAGATGAAGACGAAAATTAAGAGAGAAAGAGAGAGAGAGAGAGACAGAGAGAGAGAGAGTGAGAGAGAGAGAGAGAGAGAGAGAGATGTGTGTAATGAAAATATTTTCTTTTTTTCTCATCCCTTTAATCATCTGTTGACCCCTTAGATTTATCTCTGACCCCAAGGTTGGAAACCAGTGCAGCAGAGGAACACAAAATGAACAACTTTTTTTAATTTTTTTTAACCCTTTTCTTTCTTATTATTATTGTTGATTCCAGAGGTCATGGGCCCTAAAATTAAGAGGGCACTGGGTTATTTTTTTCTTGTGAGGAAACAGCAGAGGGTGAGCTTCACTATGAA